AGAGTGTGTGTGTGTGTCTGTGTGTGTCTCGGAGAGAGTGTGTGTGTGTGTCTGTGTGTGTCTCAGAGAGAAAGAGAGTGTGTGTGTGTGTGTGTAGGGAGGTAGTTCGTATGGGAGTGTCAGTACCTCCACGGTGTTTTGCTATGTCTAATTCCCACCTACAGATCTAGCTGTACTGTAAGAACAATTATGCTTAATATAACTTGTTTCCAGATATATTTTATAGAAAAATATTTCACCTTGGCCTAAGTGATTGATTCATATTCTATCAATATAAACTCTGTGTATATTAGGCTATGTAGATTTATATGAACTGCATACTCTTGACCTATCCTGTCAACTCTGCTATTTAAGAAGATTCCTCTGTGCTTTTGAGGTTTTCCTTAAGTCTTTGTACTCTGAAAGGCTCCGGGAAGTTTTGAGATGAGGACAAGTACAGCAGGACTGAAATGTTAATGAGAGAAGCACACGAGATCGACACAAAGGCGAGATCCAGGGCACCGCGTGCAGCTCAGCCCTCTTACCCATTTCAGAAAATGCAACCAGACTGTAAGATAGCACAAAAAATTCACAGGCACGCCAGGTTATCCCGGGTTTCTTTGTATGAAATATTATTCGCCTGTGTTAACGCAAATAAAGGTTATTTGTCCACGATAGAAAAAGATCGCATAGTATTAAGTTGACAGCTCGCAGCAGAGGTTATATAGTATCCAACTGTGGATCCAGTTACTTTTGCTAAAAAATCTGCTTATTCTGCCGTTTTTGACATTGGAGTTAGTCACTGATACAGCGTTGAACAATCGGTGTCACTTTAAGAACTAGGTACTGATGGTCAAGGGGAATTTTATCGCAATCAGTAATCGATTATCCAAAGGCAATACCATACACAACAGTAGTGATGTACTGCGTGTGTGCAACACGGAAAGAGAGAGAGAGAGTGTGTGTGCGTGTGTGTGTGTGTGTGTGTGAGAGAGAGAGAGAGAGAGAGAGAGAGAGAAGCGATAATTTGAGGGGGAGGCAGAGACAGTGCTTGTATATATTTTTTTCACTTGGAGGTATGCTGTGTTGATAAGACTTTTTTCCCAAGCAATACGGTCCGAATAGCTTTGGTGGTAGCAGAAAGCCCCCTAGAAGAAGTAGAATAACCCGTAGATTGTGAACGATTGCACCTTTCGCCATGGATTGCCCGATTGTAAGTACTAAAACATTTATTGTACAATTTATCATAAACAACAAAACCGATTTTGGTAATATGAAGTTATATTCCTGCAGTTGTGTTATTTTATGTTTGATAACCTAAAGTAAATGTTATATAGGTAGATGCAAGGTACTCCTATTTAAAATATAGTCTAGCACTCTCCCTCTGTGGGCTGGCTTTTCCGACCTGCAGTGAGTGAGTAAAATTACACTTTCACCTCTTTGCTACACTTTAGTACCGTTCCTCGAAATGTCGTTATAAGCATTTTAGGAAATAGCATAATCACTCGTTCTTTAAAAGCACCGATCAGCACCGGCCGCACCTGAGAGGCAGAGCAACGAAACGCGGTCGCTCGTCTCCACCGGTTGAACTCGCATCTCCTCGATCGTCCCGGGCTGCCAGTACCACTGATTACAAATGTGTCTTTAGGGATCACATGCAGTTAATAATTTAATTATGTAACGACTCCCACGCGCTGTATCTGTGCCAGCTGAGTTTATTTATACTTTATTTATTATTTTTTTAAATAAAGAATCCACGTTGGGGGTACAAAGTTTAACTTAGAGAGGCCTGTGTCTAAATATTATTAATAATATCCTTTAGGTTCAAACAGTACAGTGTCTTTTTAAAATGCGCCTTAAAGTATCTTATGTTCGGATGTGAAGAATGTAAATATGAATACAGGCATTGCGAGTAGATATTTAAAGGCGATCTTGGGTTAAACGCCTGTGGTAGAGATTCCAGAAAATAATGACTTATTCGTTTAGTGAAATATTTAAGTTGAGGAAAGCACGCAAAGGATAATAAGCAAAACATGTAAATTATGCAACACGAGCATTGTGATGGTATTTTTGGCTACAAATATTCCGTTTTAATGGCAGCATCTTTGTAAGCGTATGACTGACTGGGTGGTCCTTCTCCCTGATTACATGATGGGGGGCGAGTTGGGGGGGGGGGGGGGGACAGTAGCTCCCGTATCTGTGTCGGATTTAGCGCCGAGATGCTGCCAGCGCCAGTGTCCGCCTGCCACGCTACGATACGGAGAGCTTTGGCGTCGCATTGATCAGTAAGAAAAGGGAGCGTTCCCTGCGTCCTGGAGGTGGGTGGTCACACTCCCACATGACGCGGGACCGTAGGCTCCGCGTGGCAGGCCAGCCTGCTGCCAAAGGGACCGCGTCTCTTTACGTAAGAGACGTGGGATCCATAGGGAAAGGAACATTGCAAATGCAACTTAAGAAATATTTGAATTAATATTTATTCTTTTTTAAAAGTTAGGATAAGTATTGGAAATGGTGCTTTCGTCTCGGCTGTTGATGGGGGGGTAATGTAGGTAGTTTCCGGCATTGGTCCCAGGGGCGGGACTGTATTTGTGCTGTGCCACCTCTTTGAAACAGGTCTCAGTGGGACTAGCACCTCTCAAACACACACGCCATTCTCACTGCATCCAAAGGTGCTGTCCTTTTGTTCTTTGTTATTATTTCCAGTATTATCCTGTCAGATTGAACAGTAAGACAAATGATCTTGACCCCTGAAGGTCGTCTGTAGTTGTTCCCCACCTGTGTGTGTGTTTGGGTTAAGTCCTTGGTCTGAGACGGGGTCGGATGCCGGTCTGCAGCAGCTCCTCTAGCCCCAGCCTTGCCTCCCGTTATGTAAAACTTAATTTACCTTGTGACAAATATGAACGGAGTGACACAGGTTATTGTTTATAACAACTAATTGTAAATGTAAATGATGCTATTTGCCTTAATAATATCCAAACATTTCCCAAATGTGCAAATGTGCTACTACTCCATGTGTGGGTGTGTGTGTGTGTGTGTGGGGGGGGGGGGTATGCAGTCCCAGCGAGGGATCCAAGCGGAAAGCCACCATCCACCCCTAGGGCTGCTTCATTAACAGCCCTAGACATGCATTATGGGAAGGCCTCTGGAGGACTCGGCGGGTAGGAAGTGTCCAACAAAAGGGACCCGGCCTTCCCATGGCAACTTTAGTGTCTGGGCTGAAGGGCAGAAGCAAACCTACACGCCTTCGTATTTGGAAGAAATCAGTCGGGCCCAATCGACGGTGCTGCTTCCTCTGTTTGCCATCCTTTTAAGGCTGGCAAACTATTTAAAACTGGGATGAATCAAAGACCTTTGTTATGTTTTGATTTTGTGAGCTCAAACACATTTGCATCGCGGGACTGTTGCTAAGCTGTTGTCATGGCGACGGCAAAAGGCAAATTATTATAAATGCTCATTGCAGTGATATAATTGACTACTGTGTAGCCCCTGATTCCACCACCAGTCCTGTCTGATGCTCTTTGGCCAGGCTACTATATATACGCTTAGTGGTTTGAGTTGGATCTGTTTATCTGCTGCAAAGGTTTCAGTAAGTAAATGGTAAACTGCCCATTGTGGTAAAGAGAAGCAGTTTTGCGATATGATCATACTTTCTGTTGTCAGTTATTTTGTTGAACCTGCATGGTTCCAGTTGAGCATCACTGCAGTGGACTTCTTACGTGGCCCCCAGGATGAGTGCAACCAACCGCAGGAGGAGGACGTGATGGACATTCCCCTGGACGACCCCGAGGCCAACAAGGCAGCTGCCAAAATTCAGGCTGGCTTCCGAGGACACATGACCCGGAAGAAGATGAAGGACGACAAGCCCAGGGAGGAGGTGAGCAGCACTGGGGAGGCGCTTAACGGCCGCCGGAGGGATTCAGGTCAGTTGCCCCGTCGCCCATAGGCCGGGACCTGGGTCACCCATTCCAGCTCATCCCATGAGGGACTCACCTCCTCCACCCGGTGCGTGAGTACTGGCTCTAGCACAGACAAGCAGCACGCCTTGGCCCAAAACAACGAGATGCTGACTGCACATCTGCTTGGTAGGGCCAACGCACGCTTGCCGTCTGGGATACATCTGAAGGAGCGCAGGGCGAATGCTCAGGCTCCATTAAATGGAGCGGAGTGGCAAGGCCGGCCGTCGGGACAGAGAATCCAAACATCTTCCTCTGCGATAGCTGTGGGATTTCAACTTCAGATGTGACGCCATTTTTGTCCATGCCATGAATCTGACTCAGCTTCTCTGAGGAAGCCAGCATTTCCCCCATGCTATGATGATAGATACATTTTTAATGGAACTTCATGTATCATCTAAATGACTTCATCTGGATCCGAGAGCTTTAAGTGTTCAATTTGTAGTGTTATCTTCTGTTTCACAAACGCGGGTCGCAATTCAGCTTTAACAATGTGGTTGTGGGAGGTGAATAGCTTGTAACCGCTAATGCTGTTGTTTAAATCATGAGGAGTGTGATCACATGACCAGGAAGGGTCAGGAAATAAAAGGCAAGAGAGGTAAAGAAGTGAGCATGGCTTTCAACCATGTCCCAGTCATAGCATATTCTACCACTACCTGAAAAATCACGGTGCAAAATCTGAAATATTTCTGGGAATCGGAACCCGGATTCGGAGCTGGTTGTTTTCATCCATTTCTGATTCTTAAATACCATGTTTTTCTACTAGCCTCAGCTCAATGCTGTCTAAATATAACATCATTTAATATTCTTGGGCTAGAATCAACCCAGTTTAATTTGTGCATAAACCAAGTGGTGTATAATCGAGCTTGCCAGAATACACCAGTACAGAGCACACAGGGTGTCCGCGCTGAAGCTGTTTCACATCTACTTTTTTCATTTCTCTTCAACATCATATATATCTATAAAATATCACAGCGCTGTTAAGCAGTTTTTTAGCACAAAGATGCAAAAAGTTGAATACGAAGTTTGAAAAAGGCAAACCTGCCTCAGGAATGAGGGATTGTGGGTTTATGCAGCGCCGTTGTATTTAATACAGAGAGTCTGGAAACAGAGACATGTTACAGGGATGTATATAGGGATTATCAGCATGACCCCACCGTTTGTAGTGCTAATCTTTAACATAGGTGCTACAGCTTAGCAGTTTAGCTTCTGTCTGGCAAATATCAGTCTCTGAATTTAATAGCTGAGGCGTGTAGCTGAAATGGGCTGAACCTCCTTGTGGATTATCCAAAAGACAGATGTTGTGAGACTTTTTTTCCCAAGGGACATATTTATTCACGATTCAAAGGGTTGCGGCTCTGAGACGAGTTTCGTTTCCTACATGCCTATGGCCTGCTGCATGTCCTGAAAGAGTAAAACACTCCTGTGTGGAGCCCATGTCGCTGTACAGTCACATGTCTCTGGGGGCGCAATGAGGCTGCCCTGGTCAATGATGCCAGTGGGTATTTGTGGGGCGTTGGTAATTATCAATATGGATCACGCTGAACGAGAGAGCGTAGGGAATCAGATTCCTGATCCACAGGGCTGGTTGTGTGGCAACACAAAGGCTTCATGATGACTAACATGTTTACATTGTTGAGTTGCTAAATAGACTCTTTTATCCTGCGTTTTGCATAATTTCCCTTTTAATCTTTTGCAGCTGCATGTTTACTAAAGCAGAAAATCATACTCAGGGGTACAACAACAGGGGCCGCTCCTTGTCTCTTGAACCTGTGACTTTTCTGTTACAAGTCCAGCTCCTTAACTACGTCGCCCCCTACTGGCACAACGCCCACAGAACAGCTCGCGTGCCACTCGGCATTTCCCACACTTGGCCTCTCCCCATGGAGCGGCATCTTTCCGCTCAGCTAGCGATGCGCCGCGCTGCAGCCCTTCTCAGCAGGGGCCTCGTGAGTTTGTCCTCAAGGAACCGGGAACCATCCATGGCACCTGGAGCAGCGTTAACCGTTTCCTAGCAGTGCCAAGGCGCTACCTTGTTGCTAGGCAATGACGAAGACAGCATGTGAGAGCATCAGGCTGACGACCACATGGGACGCATGCTTGTTTCCGAGTGCTCTTTGAGTTCGCCAAATGTCAGCTTCTTTTATGAGCTGCTTGCAGAAAATAGATTCAATTAAATATTCAGTATTAATTCTGAATATCAGTCAAATTGTCCCCTTGTGCTCTATTATTCACAAGTCTACGTTTCCAGAAATCACACTTTACAGATGTAATTATGCAGGTTGAAAACTTGAGGAATAAGCCGTATCATTGCTCGGGGAGTCTGACAGAAACAGAGTTCACTGAGTTTCATGACCCTATTAATTCCATATAACATGGCAGTAGTATAAAGTACTTTTGAATAGTTCTTTGAAGACCAGCGTCCTTTGGGTAGGGCATTAGCTACCGGCTAACAGCCTGCGCGCATCAGGGGAATGTGACGGACGATTGTAGAGAGCATCCAAAGGACATACCGAAGCGACTGTCTCTGGGCCTCACCAGCTCCCTGAGCCATCCGGAGAACCTCATGCACGAGACATCTGGATTTAAAAAAGGCACCTTTGGGATAATTAACCAAATGAAACCTGTCCTTCACAAACGCCCAGATTACGATTTTCAGAGATAGCAACAATAAACTAAACGTCCTACCAATAGTGTTGTGTGAATAGCATGGCCCGTCTAGTGTTTTGATGTTGCGTTGTCGGTCGTAGAACGTTCTGGAACCGGTTTCCATCTAAATCAGGCCCGTGTTCTGCTTTTGCATGAGGACGGCGCATGGCGTACAAGCTTGTTTGTCAGGATGGATGTTACGGTAGGCGGGATGGAGCCAGTATGGTACATCGAGGGGGCCATGGCGAAGGGGCCCACTGAGAGCCTTTCTCAGACTGCCTCCTGACCTGCAGCTGAAAGTAGGGCGGAAGCTCAACACGTCCTCCTAGTTTCATGCTTGTGCACCATCTTCACCTAACCTGGATTCCACTCCTGTCTTTGGATTGGTCAGTGCCTGCGGCCCCACCCTTGGGAAAGGCGAGCCACTGGCAACCCAATTTAGGCCTCTCCTTAGCAACACCAACCCAGTTCCTAGTTGCTAAGCATCTTTGGAACATGGGTGTTATTTTTAACTCCAGGTGCGTCTACAGGAATCAGCGTGACAAGGTAAAAAGATGGTACCCCGTATAAGACACGTTCAGGCCAAAGTCACGTTTTGTTAGTGAAACAATGTGAAAAGTGCCTGCAGGTAAAAGGAAAACTCTAAATCCCCATGAAAATGTTAGCGAGAGTGTTGATTTGGCTCTCGATCTCCATTAAAAAGTTAGAGCGAGTGCTAATTTGGCTGTAGATCCCTATGAAACAGTTTGAAGGAGGCTAAGCTGATTAGCTAATTCAGCCCAGGCTCAGAGAAGTAACCATAGACATCTTGGGCTCTAATGCTGCTTCAGACACCTTCGGCTGTGTGACTGGCTAGCAGCCACAAATAGATAGTGTGGTAGCACAGTGGCTCAGTGTTTAGCACTGTTTCCCAGGTGCCTCCAGGGTTGTGGGTTCCCGTCTTTCCTCTGCGCTGTACAAGGAAATGCTCCCCGGTCCCATGGGCTCCAAATGTTATCTGGGATAGGCCCTAGGCCTGCTCCCCTTATGACCTATGCTACTTGGGATAGGCTCTAGGCCCCCCACGGCCTGGCGTGTGCCACCTGGGATAGGCTCTAGGCCCCCCACGGCCTGGCCTGTGCCGCCTGGGATAGGCTCTAGGCCCCCCTCGGCCTGGCCTGTGCCACCTGGGATAGGCTCTAGGCCCCCCATGGCCTGGCCTGTGCCACCTGGGATAGGCTCTATGCCCCCATGGCCTGACCTGTGCCACCTGGGATAGGCTCTAGGCCCCCCATGGCCTGGCCTGTGCCACCTGGGATAGGCTCTAGGCCCCCCACAATCCTGTTCCAGATAAGTAGTTTGAAGGTGCATCAAATATCAAGATACATGTATTGATTCAGACCACTTTTCCTTTGGTGTTCATTTAAAGTCCTTCCTCGCATTCCCAGTAAACAGGGGAGCCGCAGTTCTGCTAAAGCGGCGGCACAGAGTCCACTAAGCATGTGCTCTGTATGTATTTTCTGCCCTGTACATAAACTTGTGCTCTTGTGCTTCGCAGGAGCAGCAGGATCAGAAGAAGTAGAAGGAGACGACACCTCCACCCCAGAACAGTGAGGTTCCGGAGCCCGGCGGAGCTTAGCACACCCACTGCAATAACCAGATCTCTTGTCTTAAAATAGCTTTCCATGTACGAAATAAAGAAACTCCGAGTTGGAAGGGGGATTGGGCTTTGTCGTACGATCTGTGAACATACTCACACTTTACTGCTTACTGTCCAGTGTGGATAGATGTCTGTGATCTAAAAAAAAAAAAAAAAAAAAAACATTTTATAGCATGTTTTTTTCTTATCTTGGCGAATGACCTCGGTGACCAAGTACTGCCTGAATATTAAGGAAGGCGCTTTTGCAAAGTTACAGAGAGGGCAAAAAACAAAAAAAAAAAAAGAAAAATAACCCCGAAATGTTTGACTGTTTTTAAAGATGTTTTATTTGATTGCAACTTACTTTCAGTCCTGCACTTACTTATGCATCTGCTGTAACTTTTTTCATTTTATGGTTTTGATCAGTTTGTTCTCGTTTGTGAAATTCCTGTAAAGCCGTTCCCATCAGATGAACCAACTTTGTGTCACGGCACCATGTGTGAGTAGGTTTGTCATTAATAAGCTCAATCGGCCAGAAGTTCACACAAATGCAGCCTGTCAGTCATCTTAATTAGCTATTGTCTTCATTATTTAATATTACTCACATGCACTATAGAGATTTGTTTTAGATAATGTTGGGTATTGTTTGTGTAAAGGAAAGAGGCTTTCGAAGCGTAAGTACGTAGTCACACAGTCATCTGATGAAAGCATATGGAGGCCAGATAATTTCATTTTCTTTCAGTTATGTTCTGTAAAGAATATTGTTTTTCTAAAACATGAGCATGCGACATTAAAGTGTTTCGTAAGCCAGTGTTTAGTTCTGTCTACGGAGAATTAGAATTTGAGCTCCTTCTGTGATTTTCATGGGCACCAGAAAACATACTCTGTATGTGAAACTTCAACCTTGGTCTCATCTTTTACTTGAAGCAGATGGGTGAGATAGCGATTGTATCAAATCAGTTAGACAACAATATGTCGGCATGCTGCACGTTCAACCTGGGTGGACTTTCTTACCTGCTGCATTCTTTAAAGGACTAACACCTGTTTGAAAAATTAATAAATAAAAAGGAAACTGTTGCCAGTTTATCGGATCCTTTCTTGCTGATATTGAGGCTGATTAACAATTTAGTGGATGCTGCCCCCTACCCTCCAGTCTATAGGCATGGTTAGGTGAATAAGGATCCTGTACATTCCCTTTAGTGAGTACGTATGTACCCCACGATAGACAGGCATCCCATCCAGTGTGTCCCATTGTGCACAGTGTTCCCTGGGTGGACTTCATGCTCTTGGAAAAGCAGTCATGGAAGATGTAAGGATTGCATGTATTGGTTATTATTCTGTTGGCATTTCTGACTGAAGTGACTTAAGATTAATGTAGCTGGTGGGTTTACTAGTGGTCACCAAGCTCCAATTGTAAATGAAAGCTAAAATCACTTCTTATAGTGCACCAGTCGGGTCTTGTGATGGGTCCCTATCTCTCGCTGACTGGCACGGACAGCGCTGACTAATGCAGCATAAGGACAGCCCCCGCCCCACCTCCCGGGATGCTGCTACTCACTGCCGTGCTCCTGTCCTCAGTCACACCTGGGTAGGGGATTGGAGCTGGCAGGCTAGCATAAGCATAAAGAACAATTATTTTGGTCAAATGCAAACTTCACGCTGAGGAGAAGCTAGTGCTACACATCACTGTACCTAATACTAGCAGCCATCAGCTTGTATTACGAAAATGTCCTTTTGGAGTAAGCAGCTGTGTAATTATTGTGTCAGCTGGGCATTGAACAATGAATCAGTGGAGGGCACTTGCCCATTTATGGTATCGGGGTTTGACCTGACATCACCAAAGTAAAATATATATATATATATGAAGCTTACTGCAAGGCCTACTCATAGACAAAATAACTTCTAAAAAGTGCCCCGTGTATTACTATCGTGTATTACTCCATAATGACATTCATCTGTATCTCTTGTGATAGGCTACAACTTCTTTCAAAACAACAAATATTACTATCGAGATATTGTTTTAATTTATGGAAGATCCCAAACTATAAAGCATTACTTTTTTACGGGTCCTGTTTTAATTACATAGTGCAAATCACTCTGAGACTGAACCATACGGTAATTATCTCCGTGCTGCTTTCCCCTTGACAGCATTTCCTATGAGTATTTTTTTAATTGAGGCCCTTAAATAAAAAGCGCGCACAGACACACTGAATAATACAATTGCCTGAACTTCGATGTTTTGATTTTAATTCGACACTTTGTAAGTGGTAAACTTTTTTACAGATCATGTCAGCTTCTCTGCACAGAGGACCTGAGATGCGACACCGCCGTTCCCAACTGCCTCCTGAAGCATCGAGAGCCTCCTGTAATACACCACAAAATGCCAAATACGGGATCGGCACAGAGAGACCGGTCTGAAATAATTTCGCCGGAGCCTGTTAACAGTGAAAGTGATATCGTGCCATTTCCTCACTAGTGCAGCTATGAGCCCCCCCGCTCCCCAAGGAAAGGGAGCAGGATTTGAGCTGATTAGAAGTTTAGAGTCTGTAGCCCCCGCAGCCCGGCACCCACACACGTCCGATCGTGGAGTCACTGCGTGCAGAGAAGGAAGCTGTCACAGGATCCCAGAGATGGGACTTTTCAATTGGATTTTCCCTAGTTTCCCATGGCAACGCTGTCATCAGTAGCAGCCCTATCTCAGCTTGTCTCGATATACTGCTGTGCGCTCCACTATACTGCTAAGACTGCAGGCCCGAAAAACCCACTTATGGTGCAGATTTGGGAGAAAACCAGCACTATTAATCAGAGAATAAGAAAATGCCTGCAATATATATGTAATTATGTTAGCGGTTTATCTTTGGCACTAGTACTCAATGAATAAAAGAAGCAGTCAGATTTATTTGGTATAATGCAATTCCACAGGTACAAAGCAGTTTCCATAAAGGAAATATCCATCCATCTACCATCTTCCAACTTCGTATAGACTACAGGGTAACGGGCAATCTGTAAGTAGCATGTACCACGAAACGTCACCAAACATTACCGTGGAGACCACACGTTTACCCGTAAACGTTACTCGGGCTCGTGCAGCGAAATAGAAGGATGTGAACCTTAATTAACAGCAGGCGGCGCTTCAGTTCCAAATGAAAATTAAAAAATGTTCTGTAGCACATGCCCCCATATTAAATCCAGATTTATACGGGATTTTTATTTATTGCAACCAATACTTTTATCTCAGTCCATATGACGGAAACGGCCCCAAATGAAAGAAATAATTTCACATTTACAAAAGGGCTAAATTGAAGAAACATATTTCTGCGTAATGACAAGTAAAACTGCGTGTGGGATGGGGCACAATGCATGTCATTAAAACTGTATGTATTCAAGCCCTAGATATAAAGCCGCTGGCCTCCCACTGAAGGCAGGATTTCATTTTAATCGTGTCACTAATGTGCGTGACGTCATGCCCACTGGTCCCCGCAGGCGGATACCTGACATAGGCTGTAACGTTTGCGTCTTTAAAACTAATTTCTTTCGTATTTTGGTTGATTCCGAGAACGTAATGCGTTTATCTAATCGGGTATTTTTTTAAGTTAAGATGTTTTTAACAATAATTAATAAAAAGATAGGTTATTGACTCGCTAGCGACTTGCGGTTTATTTTTTTATGTTTTGAGTTTTGATACCGTAAAACTTTAATCGCGATTTCTGTCCGAAATATTATAATGCTGAACTACTTGCTTAAACTTCCGAAGGTTGTTATTCTTTAATTTAATTAAGCAAGTTCCCTCAAACTTTAAGCAGTCGCAAAGACACTTTGAAACTGATTACAACGTGAATGCTTCGCTTTCGAGATTGTTAGCGCACACTGCACCGCCGCAATAATAACCTGATGTGTCCATTAAAGTTTTACAAGCTTAATTTTTATTGTGCCTGTACGAGATTTGGCAGAGAGCTCGAAATGAATTGATTTTTGTATCATTTTTAAGTTCTATAAATCACACGGTTAGGGTAGAAAAGATAGGAGAAACATTTTGAGGGCCTTATCAGTTAGCTACTGCTTAAGTTTCACTACTTTTCCCACCGCATTGTCCAGGCAGCAGGATAGCGCCCTCCTATGGCAAGTACTGTGTAATCACAGAGAGTGCTTCTTAAGGAAACAAATGTGTCTTTGTCTACACTGAGAAGCAAAATGGGGTAGGGTGGGGGGCAGCAATAGTGTAAAGATTCACAAAGTTGTGAGGTACACACACACACAGATACACAAACACTCGTGCTCAGAGAAACGGGGACACACACCAACATTCAAACAGACAGACAGCTATACAAAAGGTACACACACTGCAGGTACACTAATGCTCTTGCTAACACAAATGGGGCCATGCATGCGCACACACACACACACATCAGTGCCACACTCGGGTCTTGGTAGAGCCCAGCCAGAATAGAAAAAAGAGCATGTTGACTCTCGGGGGCAGAACACGGATGGAGCGGTAATGGTGACTGTGTGGGAGAGAAGCCCACCACTGCAGCCAAGACCAGAGCAGACAGGATGGTGTCCCACCGCGCACCAGCTTTCCCAGCAATACGGCAAATCCTCCTCGTTTTTTTCCTGTCAGGTAAAAAAAAAATCATGGCCAACTTTGTTTTGCACTGGGTGCATTTTTGCATACAAATCATGGGGCTATTATTTCAATTTAAAGAAAGTTTTAACTGGCAGGATACAGTAGGAATGAGAGGTCAAAGGAACGCGAATGTTTGTGTCTTTCTGTGAGTGAGAAAAAAAAACGGGTTTATCGAAGTATCTTACCTTTACAAATCAGGGGTCTTCATAGTTTACACTTTATTGGAATTTGTATTTTTTACATAATAATACATGTGGCTTTTCTTAAGTTCTCTTTATAAATGATATATTGTGTGTTCTTTTAATCTTTGGGCCAAAATTGAGATGTCCCACAGAGTAATGACACGTAAGAGTGAATCAGAATCGGAATGAGGTCTATTGACCATGTAAGTTCACACTTACAGGGAAGCTGACTTGGCGTACTGCTGGCAGTGACATAAAACAATCAGAGAATACAAAACGTCTCACAGTCACAAACAACATTAAACAGCACGTAAGTAAAATAACTGCAGTGCTTCATATCAGCAGCAGAATTAATGTGGATTTGCGTTCTGTCAGTTATTGGGGACCACACTGGAGACAGCTCCTGGGGAGTAGCTGTTTCTGTGTCTCCAAGTCCTGATTTTTAGTGACTGGAATCTCATACCAGATGGGAGAGGCTAAAAAATGTAGTGGGGGCTTCAGCAATTGTCCTGCTTGCCTGCTTACTTGTTTCTTGGCCCTGGTGTTGAAAAGGTGCCAGATGGAGGGCAGGTCACAGACGATGATCTTCTGAGCAAACCTGGTGATCCACTGGAGTCTGGTCCTGTCTTGAGTTGTGGCAGATCCCAACCCAGATGGGTAGTGATGAAGTAAGGATGGTCTCAGTGATGGCCGTGTCAAAGCATTGCCACAGGAAGGACATCCTTTCTTGTTCATGCACTTAATGTTGTCTGGGGAGATATATTTTTCCCAGGAATTTGAAGGACATGTCTGTATTAACTGCTGAGCCATATATGGTTGGGGAGAGGGCTTGTCTTAAAGTCTCCAACCATCTCCACAGTCTTCAGAGCATGAAGCTCCAGATAGTTAGAACTTGGAGGAGCTTGATGTAAGTTTTAAAGCGCAGAATGCATGCCGCTTAGATATTATGGGAACTGTATGGGATGCCTTCATAAAAATCCAGGAAGACCACGTGTACTCCCTCATCCGAACCTAAATTTAACATATTCAGTAAAAATGCTTGAATAATCACCTGTATGTGGAGCTGAAAGACAAATCAAATCAGCAAATTCAACCGTGAGCAATTTCCATGCATCTGACACATAGTTAAAATTCTCTCTGCCAGGTGATTAACTCCTGCTAAAGTAAGGGTGGAAAATGCAAATAAATCTTCCATTAATTATTATTATTAATTTTTCTAAGCCCTTCTTATTCATTATAATTACCAGCAGGGAGCTTAGTTATATTTACATTCGTAATTAGAAAATGCTTTCACTGACAGCCACTAGGAGGTGGAGAGTTTTGTAAGTCCATGAAACGGGCACTTAAGGGGCAGAGGAAGGCGGGAGCACAGCTATGCGCCCTGAGCCATTTAATCTGAGCCAGTCAGACACCCTGATGATGCCGAACATCATGGGGTTTCCTCTTTGATGAGGGTTGGTGGGTGAACCAGTGTCAAAGTGCAGATGTTGATGTGGGACTCAACCGACGGGCAGCTGGAAAAACCAGGAGGGGATTGTGGCGGCACAAGTAGCCCCGACAGCCCAGGGAAGAGTTTCATTAGCCTGACTGGGGGACGAGGAGAACCAGCAGCGCCTGGGTAGATGGCATTTTGACGAGTTTGGAAACTGTCAGATTAAAAAAGCGAAGCTGGATTCTGCTAGAAACAGAAGTTGTCACGAAGGGTCGCTGCTGCCGTTGATGAGATGCATTGCGTTCTCCCCATAGGTAAGCGAGCTTTAAATCTCCGCAGATCCCACAAGGCCTGGATGCCGCGTGAGCGCATCAGCAATGACTGCATGACTAAGGCCCTGACTGCGCATGAAGGAAGGCTGTGGGTGGCCTTGATTTAAGCTTACTGTGCCCAACACTCTGCGATGGTTTAGCTTGGGGATCGTGAATAGCTTAACAAACTCACCCGGGGGCTCTTAAAGAGACAGTTTTACGGGGGTGTTTTATTCTTAGCATGGACCACAGGACCGGAGTGGGGGGGTTTGGCACCCAAGCTTGAACCCAGGTAACTTTTGGAGCATCGTTAAGAATGTAGCGATGAGCAATGATGCAAACCAATAAAACTGTGACAGGTCACATCACCGGTTTGTCGATCAAGTGAAGGGGCAGCTTGGAGGATCATGGTGCTCTTATGGAATGAATCGGTACTCTGCCTTGGGTTACTGGGTAATGTAGGTAGGTTGGGAATCTCAGACTTGGAGATGCATGGATATTATCCTCCTGTCTAAAGAATTAAATCTAGAAGTTCAGACTGGAGTCATCATTTCTGCCAGGGGGCCATTCGGGGAGGAAGCCAGTCCAACAGGCTCTGCTCTTTTAATGCTCACCCTAGCAACCCCTGAGATGGAGAAAGGTTGTCATGGAAACATAGTGGGGAAGCCTGATGAGAGCCCCAATGGAAAGCTGTTTGGAAATGGCCACGGACCGTTTTGCTTTATAGCCTGAAGAGGGGCTTTGACTGAGCTACGGCTCCAAGCCCCACGGATGGCTGAAAGCGTTCACTTCAAAAACAGCCACTGCCCAACGACTGCTATGCAAAAGAAATCACTTTTGTTTATTTGTCTTCAATTTAAAAAAATTTCTGTTCATATCGGACAGCGCTGTGGATGCACACTTCCCAGGATTGGGATCTGAATGTGATTTAGATTTTATGTCCCTAAATTTACACACGTATAAGATGAGTGAAGTTTTCTCTGTGTGGACTTTGCATGTTCCTGTGTGTTTGTACAGGTTTTCACAGATATTCCAGTTTCCTAACCCCAGTCTAAAAACACTCGGTTGTGTGTGTGTGTGTGTGTGTGTGTGTGTGTGTGTGTGTGTACTCTGCAGTGCAGTGGCATTCCCCGAGGGTGTCTCCTGATCTGTGCCCTCTGTATCCTGGGACAGGCTTCAAGCTTGATATAACATGGCAAGGGTGAAGCAGTTATGGAAGGTGGATAGATAAAAAAAATAGTCTTGGGGAAAATCCCAAAATGTACCTATATTAAATAAATCCAGCACTTTGTTTTATGCTTATATAAGATCTGTGAGGCTGTTTCCTCATGGGGGTCCTCAGGGGGTGTCCAGACGGTCAACGTCACTGGCCCAGGGGAGCCGGTGCGGGGCACACTGGGATCGGACGCCCTGCTGTCAGTGCATTACGCCAGCTTCAGCACGGACCTGCCCATCATCCGCTGGCAGCTCCGGAAGGACAAGCCCCTCACCGTGGTTCAGTCCTTCGGCACCGACGTCATCGGGAACCTGAGGTCCGAGTACCGGGGCCGTGTCCGGGTCTTCGCCAACGGTAGCCTGCAGCTGCAGGGCCTGCGGCTGGCCGACGAGGGCATGTACGAGGTGGAGGTCTCCATCACGGATGACACCTTCACCGGGGAGACCAGCGTCAACCTCACCGTTGATGGTAGGATGCCCCTCTCTGCTGTCTCGTCGTCATGTGTGCTCGATGATTCCCAGGAGATTGTGCTATAATCATTATGGCAGTGTCTTATGTGCACCTATCCGGTGACCCCACAGAACTCATATCCACACCCCGCGTTGTCATGGAGACATCCGCCGTGCTAGAGCACATGGAGGCGTTCACTCTCAACTGCTCCCACGCCAATGGAACCAGGCCGACCTACAGCTGGCTCAAAGGTGGGAAGCCCCTAGCCAATGACACGCGCCTGCTGCTGTCACCTGACCACAAGAGCCTGACCATCACACGTGTGACGCCTCAGGACGACGGCATCTACCTGTGTCTTGTGGAGAATCCCGTCTCGAGCGTCAGGAGCGCCCCCGTCAGGCTCACCGTCTACAGTAGGTGCTGGGACCTGCGTAACCCCCCCGGGACGCGATGAACACATCAACGTGCTTTCCCGTTTTAGAAATCAGACTTCCTGTTGATTGCAAAAACCTAATGTCTGTTTGGGCAAACAGCAACAGCGGTCCCAGCAAATTTGGCTCCAGGTCGCTGTATGCAAACTGATCCCAAAAAAGAAAAGTTGCATATTTGTCAGCTACCCTCATGCCGCCTCTCGATGCTCAGATAGAAACACGCTTCTCGCCTGCAGAGTTCCTCCACAGCTCCGTAATAATGAGCGTTATTCTTGAGAGCGCAGAGGAACCTGCAAGCTAATTCCTGCTAGAGCCTAGATGTGCCGCTCAAGTGCTATTGAGGCCCAGCCAAGCCTGGGCCAATTCTGCTGTCTTACCGTGCCCCCAGCCCGTCGGAGAGAACATAAGAACATGTGATTTAACTCATATCTGGCAACGGCGGAATCCTCTGAGATCAGTCTGTGTTGCCTGCCTGTCTGTCGCCATTAAAGCAGTGCTGTCTTTTGAATGGGGCAAGGGGAGGGGCTGTACTGCTGATCAGGGTTGTAATATACCAGGAATAGACCTTTCACAGCGTTGCCAACTTTGGTCTGGTGGCTGGTATGGTTTTCAACATGTATGTAACAGTTTTATGAGTGAATAGCCTGTAGGGTTTGCAAGCTACCCCAGTGCTTTTGATGTAGCTAATTTTATGTTTATAATGGAATAACACAAATTTGCCATAAGGTTTCTTGCGGGAGAGTGAAAGCATGAGTGTCACAGCAGATGCGTGAGAGTTGGCACCCCTGCCTTCAGTGCCCTGGGGATGACACAATGTGCAGGATACAGGCTCCAAATTAGCCATGACGGTGTTAAAGCGTAATGGTTGTGCCCTGGGCTCCAGCACAGAGAGCGTGTTCTGCGGGAACCCCTCCCTAATCCCCCCCCCCCCCTTGCGGGTGTCCTACACCCACAGCCTCATTATGATGCCTCAGAGCTCCTCATCCAGCAACTTACTGAGCGCTGCCAGAAATCTATCCATCGGGGGGAGGGGGGTTCCCCTTTCAGGAAGCGTGTCTCCCGGAACGGCTTCAGAAGGTTCCGGATGGTTTTGGCCCATTCGCCTCCTCCTCTGGAGTGCTGTTTGCTTAGAGCTGGTGCAGACCGATCTCCGGCCCCAGCGTGCCGGTGACTCCCCAGGCGAGTGCCGCATCACAGCGGAGTTCCTCTGTTTCAGGACGCAGCTCTCTCTACTTCATCCTCGCCGCCGGGGGGGGTTTCCTCTTCGTCACCCTGGTGACGGTGTGTGCCTGCTGGGGCCCCTCCAAGAAGTGAGAATTGCTTTTGTTTTTCTGTCACCATCCGGAGCCCCCGGGGGGCTGAGTTGGGCTGTAGGAGTTCAGAAATATCCCCCAGACCAAAGTGCCGATGAGCTTTAGCAGAAAAATGCTGCTAAGAGGTAGAAACCATTTCTGATAAAACGTTACGTTAGAATAACGTTACCATTATCACCCAAGGGGGACGTCCTGCCTTCAATATTTTCCTCTCGATATATATTTGATATCATGTTATTATTAGAATATGTTTAGTATAATCGGGGGTGACATAAAGAGGGGACAATTCCCTGAGAAAATCTGGAACATAATTTGATTGGTCGGGGTTGGGGGCCCATAATGTCTATTGGCACCCCTGAGTATAATTATGCTGTAGTTACTGCAATGATGCCAATTCACGCTATTCAGCTACAACAATTTGCCTGAAAGTTTTACTTTTAAAATAAATCCGAGAGCCATTCAAAAAACACTTGTATCTGTATTTCTATACATAAGTATTTGTTTTTATACTGTAATTCAATGCTTTTGGTTCCTTAGGAAATGTTTAAATGAAGCTGTCTTGCAGACTGTGCATGTCATTCTGACGTTTGAATGTATTATGGTAGTTTGGATGCAGCGATTCCAATGATAGAAACATTTGTGTCCTTGTTATAGAGAAAAACAGCATAACCAGCCAAGCTCTGTGAAGTATGTGGATCAGAACCGGACCAAGTCTATAGGTGAGGAGCAGCGGTACCATTATGGGCGTCTGATCTATGCCGACACGGTCCTGAACGTGTGCTCGTGCCCTGCGTTTTCAGACCCCCACGAGGAGCGGCCCACCCCTTCCGTCAGCCAGGCCCCCGTCACCGCCCCCCCTCCATCACACGGCCCACAGATTCCCACGAAACCCACGGTGCCCCCGCCACGCGCCCACAAGACCCGCCCATCCCCGGGTCTTCCAGCCGTCAAGCCTGCAGGAGACTCCAAGCCCGTGGTGAAGTCTGGTGTGCCGCAGTAGGCATGATGGCCGCCCCACGCCTCCCCTCCCCTCCCCACTCCCCACGCCTCTGCTATTTCAGTGTAAATACAGCCTCCCAGTCACCCCCTGTATTCTATGGTATTATTATTTGCTTGGAATGTTTATTCAGTTCAGTCATTTAGATGTACAGTAATTTAACAAATATGTGCCTTATTCTAGAAAAGGGCCCAGGGTCAGTTTATTCATAAAAACCTTGCAGGTAAAAGCATCCATTAGCTTCTCGCGTTTGTTTTCACTCTCTGGCTCTCATGAGCAACTTTAGGGATGATCTTAGTCCAGGTGGTACCGTTAGGAAATGAGGTCTGTGATTTCCAGATGATTTGCAATCAGGTGTTTCACTGTTAAGATTAAAATGGAAACTCCAAATGCCAGCTGTTTGAACACTAATGAGGTATTTTAACTAGTCACTGTTGACAAACGCTCGTATGCATATATCTTTCAATAAAAATGTTTAGTTCATTATATTCTGTATGTTTTTTCTGTGGACCTTTCATCAGCCTCTGCTCTCCTTATAAGTGTAAGTCCTTTGGATTTCGCCGTTGCTGTATGTATCTGTGAGCTTCCTGGCTCAGTGTCTGTGTGTATGATAGTGTATCGGGGGGGGGGGGGGGTCTTCCATAGCTGCAGGTCATTCTGTTCTGGTGCTGACTTGCTCTCTGCCACTGGCTGACTCTGAGCGTGACGTGACAATTCTGCCAATGCTTTCAGAGTCCAAGAACATAAGCCCACATTAGGGACTTCTTTCCAAACATAAGAGGCTTCTTCTTTTGTTTTTTTTTGTTTTTTAACTCAAAGTTAATTTAGGCTTCCCACTTTCGGAATCACACTGTCTGTACAAGTGCAGTTATGTGCAAGAAAAATATACATTTTTTTTGGTAACATTTTTACATAATGCTTTTGTACAGTGCACAATAACCAACATTAACTTAACTACATAAGTGAAGATGTAGCACATTAAAAACTTGCATGAAGTTAAAACAAAAGGAAGAGAAAGAAATATGATGTCAAAGGTCCTTCAGATGCTAACTGGGAAATAAGGATTTATGGGACACATCTAGGTTGACAAGAGGACAATGCGGAGCTGCTGGACCCTGTGCCGGTGGTGCATGGTGATCGCTGACCTCTTTTCATTCATTTGGAATCATCTGGCCTGAACGAATCAGACAGCTCGAAATCTCATTAGCCCAAATCTTTTGAGGGCTCTATCACTTTACATTATTTAAAATCAAATGTATTAGACATGCTTCACCTCTGTTGGTGAAATGTGTTTTTATTCATGTCCATTGGGCCAAAAAGAATGTTCAGCAAACTTGCCATTATTTCACTCTATGATTGCTTAATAATCCTTATCCATGCAAGATTTAAAAAATGAAAGAGACTGATAGACTAATTAAGTTCTACAAGTGAAGAGGTTCAGCTATGGGGAGCATATTTGAATGTGTTTACAGAAATGCTCTGTAAATAAACCTGCATTTTCCAGTTATCATCATTAACCATCAAATGAGGGGGGAAACAAAACAGGCAGACTTTTCCATTCGGTAAACAGACTCGTCTGAATAACATGTTTGTGACAGTATTCCCAGACACGGCTGTGACACAACAGGCCCTTGTGATCTGATTAGAGCCACTGCTGTTGCAATAAATGGTGGTTTTTCAATAAATTAACAAATATAAAAATTATATATAATTACACAGTTATATATAATGACAGAATTCTAATTCAGTCATGAGACAGCTGATTTTATACTAAACAGGAATTTCCTTAAAATGCTGAATTGAACCTTTGCTGTCACACCTTTTTGAAATTAGTTTTTTTAGCAGTGTCAGTAAAATCTTGGCTCTGCCTTGTACCCTGATCTAATGCTATGTTCCATTTGAACTTGTAACTCGGAAATTCCGAGTTCCTAGTCGGAAATTTCAACTGGAATACCCAGAATTCCGACTCATGAACTTGGAGGAATCGACACAACCCTGAGCTCAGAATTCAAGATGGCTGCGCCCTTTAGCAACAGAAGTTAATGCTGTAGTTTCATGCTGTCTATTAGCACTTATGTCTTATTTGTGGCTCATTAAATCGGTTGCACACACAGTACTGCCCAGACGCTATCTGCAGACGTGTTGCTATGAAAAATACTACATAATGCATTGTTATCCACTGATATTGCTAACAGTGGCTAACAAAGAACTGGACAAGAACTGGGGCCCATTTTATTAAGCAGGATTTCTTCCTTAAGCATACAACTTGCTGGATTTAAGGTATTCTAGGCTAAATGTAAGTGAATGAAGATAAAAGTCATTTAAACTGGGTTAAAAATAAATCCAAGAAGTTATCCAGGTAAGTAAGAAATCTTACTTTTTGAAACAGGTCCCTGGAATTGCTAAATGGCTGTCCGACTTTATGTACTGGAACACTGTTAACTCATGTGTGACCCCTCCAGGCCTGAACCCGCGAGAGGCTGAAGGGTGGGGCTGTTATCTAGGTGTTCCAATAAGACATCTGCCTTGGATGCGTCCTGGACACCTCCCTGGGGTAGCGTTTCTGTCCTAGACCCCGGGACAGACCCAGGAAACACCGGAGCGATTATATCTCTCAGCTGGCTTGGGAACACCTTGGTATCCCCCAGAGGAACCGGAAGAGGAGGCTGGGATGAGGGAGGTCTGGTGCTCCCTTCTCCTCCTGCCTTCCCAGTGTCTTCTCTCACCACCTCCAAGGCGGACACATCTTTATGGTCCCGTCTGCAGTCTGACCTGCCCATCTGGCTTCTCAGATACAACACCGACGGCATCTCGGCATGTGATCGCAGTGGCAGTATAACTAAATGATCACGCAGCCTCCTATGCGCGAGTGTTTTAAATTGACTTTGATGTATGCAGTGATCCCTCATGCGGCATATTAACTGGGCCAGGTAAGCGGGCTGGGAGAGACGTAATTACACCTTGGGGGCTTGACGGCATCTCCGCCTTTACCCTGCCGTGACATATTGCTGCTGTATAAAGCCCCAGGAGGTTGTTACCTCCCCTGGTAATTGATGGCAGAAGCTGGCGAATAAGCCAGTCACACTCCTGCCTGTTTTGCTGTTTACAGTCACTTCCTGCCTTAGACAGACACATGCGGGCTGCTGTTTTTAGACGATCCGGCTCTCTTCTTTCCTCACAAAAATTCCAGTTTATTTAAATGTTGTTTGTTTTCAGGGGCAGAATGTATTATTTAATAATGCTTTTGGTTCTTACAGGGCAGGTTATACCACACAGGTGGGCAATAATACTAGGAGGCTAAAGAATCGCCATGACGACGGTCAGTGAGCCACGCTATTGGTGAAGAGATTATCATTTGAACCACACTGACGAAACCATCTGTGGACTTTAGCCCTGGGGGGGAGGGGGGTTGTAGTGACTAGTGCTGTCTAGTCACTTTAAAACAGAGCTGTAGCTGTCAGTTAGAGAAAACTTCTGTATATTGGGTGCAGATAAAGTAGAATTTATCCCTCCTGGACGTCTTGAAGTCATTCAATTCTTTTTAATGTTTTTTTGGAGGGCACAGTTAGGTTTGCCCTCAAAAAGCACAATGAGACCCACCCAGCGCAATTTAGGATTTGAAATACCAGGTTTTTAAAAGGCTTTTAAATACCTGATGGCTATAAGAATGGGGAATATTTTCAATAGCAGGGAATGAAACGTGAAAGGTCATGTGATGTGGAGTTCCATAGATCACATCTCGCCCAAGTCTGAGTGATGTTCACTCACTGAAGAATGGAAATGGACAAGTAAAACTCTATCATATCGCACCAATCCAAGGTCCCAAGGAGATGTGGGGGCAGCCTCCTCGTCGCCGTGGTAACGGTCCCTTTGCAGCAGCTGACTGTGGCATATTTTAGGCCAGTCATTATTCCCCAGGTTCCACACCTTGTTCTCTGCATTGGTCTTTGTAGGCTGCAGCTCCAGGAAGCTCATTCAGCGAGGGCCGAGGAACTTCACCAGTACAGTGAGCTGAAGGAATCTCTGTGTGACGATGGGGAAATGCCTCACTCTGTGGTATGTAGTGGAAGGTGTAGCTCTGTCTTACCTTGTCTCTCTGGTCAGCCGATGGGAATCTGTTTCACTGTCTGATTCCGTGCGAGCAATTAGAAATGTCCCTTCCCCTAAATCTGCCTGTCAGCTGGTAGAAATCTGGCTTTGCCTCATGTCTCCATGTCAGCTGCTGCAAATCTGTTTTCTGCCCTGACTCTGTGAGAGCTGACGGAAATGTCTTACCTTCTGTCTCTGTGGGAGCTGGTGGGATTTGTCTTTGACTTCACTAGTAAAACAATCTGTTTCAGAAATAGGAAGTTTAATCAGTAGAAATTAGAGAAGCATGATATATTATCATTTGTCTGCTTTGTTTTTATTGAATATGGTTTTACATATAGTCCATGTATACATAGCAGTCATACAGCTAAACAGATACGCAGGTCATTAATAAACATATACTATATGGACAAAAGTATTGGGACATCAGGCCATTACACCTACAGGAAATTTTATGACATCCCATTATAAATCCATAGGCATCAATATGGAGTTGGTCTCCACTTTGCAGCTATGACAGCTGCCACTCTTCTGGGAAGGATTTCCACAAGATTCTGGAGTGTGTCTGCGGGAATTTTTGCCCAGAAGAGCAGTTGTGAAAGCTTGGCTCCCAATCTCTGTTCTAGTTCTTCCTAAACGTGTTTGATGGGGTTGAGGTCAGGGCTCTGTGCAGGCTTGTCAAGTTCTTCCACACCAAACTCACCCAACCTTGTCTTTATGGTCCTTTATATGTGCACTGGGGCACAGTCATGCTGGAACAGAAAATGGGCCATCCTCAAACTATTCCAACAAAATGAGAAGCATAGAATTGTCCAAAATGTCTTCATTTGCTGAAGCATTAAGAGTTCCCTTCACTGGAACTAAGGGGCCCAGCCCAACCCGGAAAAACAACCCCATACCATTATCCCTCCTCCACCAAACTTTACAGTTGCACAATGCAGTCAAGCAGATAACGTTCTCCTGGCATCCACCAAACCCAGACATCTCCATCAGACTGCCAGACAGAGAAGTGTGATTCCTCACTCCACAGAACACATTTCCACTGCTCCACAGTCCAGTGGCAGTGTGCTTTACGCCACTCCATCCGACACTTGACATTGCTCTTGGTGATATGAGGCTTGCATGCAGTTGCTCAGCCATGGAAGCCCATTCCATGAAGCTCCTGTTGTGCTGGAGTTAATGACAGAGGAAGTTTGGAACTCCGTGGTTACCGAGTCAACAGAGAGTCGGTGATTTTTACGCACTATGTGCCTCAGCACTCAGTGACCCCGCTCTGTTACTTTACATGGTCTGCCACTTCATGGCTGAGTTTCTGTTGTTCCTAAATGCTTCCATTTTGTAATAATTCCGCATACTGTTGATCGTGGAATATCTCGCAGGGAAGAAATTTCACAAAC